TAGTCGTTGTCAGGAGCAGTCCACAATGTGTTTATATAGTGTGTTATTGCCCGGACTGCCACGGACTTGTAACTTTCTTTTCGTGTCGACCGTCTCGCCATCTCCATCTCTTTCTGTCCGTGCGTGATGTACAATATCACTATATATACAATGTATGTATAGTCCGTTATTGTCATTTCATTGTCATTAGGCGCGTTCACACTGGCGGGAATTAGCGGGATGCAAATCTCGGTTTTTGCATCGCGATCAAAATACCGAGATTTTTACAAGTGTGAACGCAAAAATCTCACTGCATCACGCAGCATCTCTCAGCATCTCTCAGCATCGCGCTGCAAATCGCACTTTTGACTGTGATTATTTGGAATTAGCGCGATTAATTGCACCGCGGCGTGTGTGTGAACGCTCGCGCAAATAATCCCGGTATTTTCTATCCCATCATTCCAAGCGATCGTATCAACATCCGGCAGTGGCATTAGCTTTCAAAAACAGTGATATTACACAAATATTTATTTTACATCTTTTTAATGCATAATTGCACTAATGCGTAATTGTTAATCATTACCAACCAACCCCCCCCCGCCCGCGACTATAGTTTGAACGGTATAAGAACGGCCGAAGAAATACTCTTGCCAGTCAACGGTGACCGACGCACGAGCGCCTCTCTGCACGTACATTAATATTGCATAGCGGGAAACCCAGGGCGTGGTGCTGCGAGCAAAAGTGAATAGCATAGACCGGATTTTACCATGCACACGTGCTCTCAGCCTCCCGGCTCCGGTTTGAACGCATAAGAACGGCCGAAGAAAACGGTCGAAAACACGTTACAGGGGCGTGTACAGATTTGTACCAGGGGGGTCTAACCCTAACCAAACCTGGCGAGCACACGAAGGGGGGTCTGGGGCCTCTCCCCCGAAAAATTTGAAATATAGACACCCCTCAGATCGTTTTCTGCGCGAGCAGGGGGGGGTCCCGGAGTCGACCCCCTGGACCCCCCCTGTACACGCCCCTGGTTAAATCGCACACAGTCATCAGGAAGCCCTCGTTCCACCAGCCACCCACCGTACTACTATACACGCTGACTGAGTATTGTGCACCGATTGCGCAACCTCGCACGAATTTTTCTCTCCCTTTCTCGCTCCCGATCTCCAGGGCAAATAATTGGAATTTTATCCCACTAGATGTCGCCACTCTGTTATTTTGGCGAAAACGAACAGTACTGTCAGACCAAGGAGTCAGACTCAGACAGCCTAGCCTGTTTACATGTTGTATAATGTTGTCGTGCGTGTGAAGTGAGGGATGCTTTATACGATATAAATCTATATCGTTTACTACATTTGTATGACCTATTAATCTTTAAGATGGGCAACGGAAAGCGGCGTAGAAAGGATCAAGGTAAAAAATGTGAAGCCGTTGTAGAAATACAAACGAATGTAATGAATGGTGGCCTTCCAGTCGTGGAGTCACATGTGTGGAGTCAAGAGAGTATACTGAAATGCTGAAAACTTCGTTCTACTTCTAATGTATCATATTATAATCAATGATCAGAAATCTCTTACTCGTGGTAACCCGTGCCATTTCTTTCTGCGTATCAGAGGCGCCGCTTTTTCTAAAATTATAAAATTCGATCATGGCCATAGTGCTTGCAGTTGCACTGCATGTGTGATATGTTCGTATCGGTATTGTCTATTGCTACTGCTGAGTACTGGTATATTGTGATAGTTATGCTTGTTGAACCATTAAGATGCAGCCGTAGTACTAATAGTACAAAAAACAATAATGCTACATAGAATAGTACTACAAACACTGCAGGCATTACCATACCCCACTTATTTGTAATTTTACTATTAAAAACTGGGTACAAATGAATGGAATAAGACAATTTTTATCTCCGCCCAACGGAGTTGGAGGAGGTTATGTGATCGCTCTTGTGTGTTAGTGTGTTCGCGCGATCGATATTAGCGCGTCGAGTCAGCGAGCCAGCCAGCGAGCGAGCTCGTAACACATACATGTTACAAGCTGGCAGAGGTATGCACTCTCCGTGAGTGCCCTCTGTCTAGTTGTTAATGTTTTGTAGATAATAATGCTAGGAGTTCAAAGCAAGGCAAATATGATGCAGACTATGTTGAGGATGACGATGATGCAAGAGAAGAGGATCATCGTCAGGTTTGCCACAACAAGCTGGGAGAGATCAACCCGGCAAAAATACACGATCTCGTCGCCGGCTACATTGTCAAAACGAAACAGCTTCGCAAGCACGAGATTAAGAAAGCTCTCGGCCTCTCCGGCCCCTCGAAGGAGAGGTCCTCCGCAAAGTCGAAATCGCACAAGAAACACTCGACGGCGCTGAGGTGACGATGAGCGGCGAGTGGCGCCACCTGCCGGCGCGCAGCAGGGCGCCGCGGGGCGGGGCGACGTTCGTGACGACGTGAGTGACGGGTGCGCACCGATGCGATTGGTCGTGTGTGCGTGACGAGACGTCGTCGTCTTTCCCACAGCTTTGCGTTCGTGGAAGTGTCTGTGAGATGACTCAGCTTTCGTACTTATGCGTGATTGTGTACAGATGTGTAAGTTATTGATTTTAATGCACCGGATGAATACACCGATGCAGCCGGCTGCCAACGCTGCCACCTCGCTACGGAAATATACTCTAAATCGTTATGTCAGACAGAGAGAGAGAGAGAGAAGGCCAACAGCACATTTTGTAATTGCAGTCCTTTCCGAGTGGAAAGATTCCTGCGTTGCGATCGGTATGCTTGCTTTCAAACTGTGTTGCTCTAGTGAGTAAAGAATCCATCACTGACAGAAGTCGTTCAGTACGTGGAAACACACTGCGCGTGCAAATACCCATTTGTAACAGATCTGACAAGCGGTGCCATCTGCCGGAGAAAAAGATTAAGAAATTGTTTTAAATATCAGCCCTGCACATTGTTATTCAATTGTGTTGTAGGGTGGAGATTACTACACAGATGGGTCTATTGTAATCTCCTTGTGGTATTGAAAGTTTGCTGCAAACAATTGTTAAATTGTGTGACTGTACAAAGTAGCAAATGTTATGTGTTGTTGATTATTTTTTTGCAAATACTGTGTAAAATAGCAGCTGTACAGTAGTATAGTAAGGACGTTGTATGCTTCAAGTAGCCATAACTTCACCATTATAACAGGTGTTACTAATTTAAGCAAAGCAAGTGTCTGTTGATTGCATAACTAATAAGTATTCTGAAAATGGGCGATTTTGTGTGGAGTCGAAGTAAGTTAATAGAAACGTTAAACTGTATGCACTGTAAAGGCGTTTGTGGTTATTTTTTCCACATTCGTCGTTTTCTGTTGCAGAGAGAACGGTTTCTATGCGGTGATTTTGATTGTGTAATTGGAAAAGAATGTGTTTTATAAGAAATTCAGCATAGGAATAATCATTTTGATTAATGGCCTAAAATTGGATACCAGTGATCAAGTAAACATATATTGTACTATTTGTATGTCTTCCTTCCAATATTTTTATTTTCTCTCTCTATTGTTAATGTTTTGTAGATAATAATGCTAGGAGTTCAAAGCAAGGCAAATATGATGCAGACTATGTTGAGGATGACGATGATGCAAGAGAAGAGGGACCAGGTAACATCGTCGGCATATTCTTAATAACTTATAATACGATGTGATGAGTACAATGTGATAAAACTTATGATCAAATTTCAATGCAGTTAGAACGTGAGCATTCAACAAGTTCTTAGGACATGTTTTATGGACAAAATAAACCATATGATAGTCACTTGCCATGCATTATTATACTTTCTGACAGCAAACTTTGAATAAAGTATTTCGCAGCTCTCTTCAAAATGAAATTGTCATTTGCAATTTTCTAGGTAAAAATCACGCTTATCTGACTGTAATGATGCCATATATTTTCATGCTAACTTGTACAATCTTATATATGATGCATTTTGAATACCACATAGAAAAAACTCTGCCAAAGTCGGCCCTTGCTCAAGTGAATGACGTGGGATCTGAAGATAAGTTTGGAGCGAAGGACTTTCGAACACAAATGATGTTAAAACCTGACCATGCATCACGCCCTCTGTGGCTGGTAACCCATACCATACTGCAATTACTGTGATCATATTATACGTGCTATTGTTATTGGTATTAGTATTGAAGCTTAGAGTATACGGTACAATCGTGTATATACTATAGATTCAATTGTAGTTCGAATTTTCCTTACATTGTCAAAATTGTTATAGAATTGCATGGTATTATGTGTGCTAAATTCTACACAGTTATATATTTTCCTTTCCTCAACTAATGCTGAACATTTCATATGTATTTGCAGTCTCCTGATGGTCACATTTTCCTCGAGTCTTTCTCGCCGGTCTATAAACATGCACACGATTTCTTGATAGCAATCTCAGAGGTAAGATCCATGAGCGCACTTCTTTTAGGTACATCGTTATTTATTGACAAATGCTTCAGCAGAAACTGCTAGCAGGGTTTGAAATCCTAACGGGCCCGCGGGCCCGATGCCCGTAGGTTAAGGCTCGGGCCTAACATTTATAATACTAGCAGGCCCAACGGGCCTGTAGAAAATCCACCCCCAGCATGCAACTAGCAGCATGCACTAGTGATCTCAGCACCGGATTCATAAATAACCACAAGTGCATACGCTGAAAATTTAGAACACCTCATGCACAACTTTAGTTGGCATTCAAGAAACGTGCATGCATGGGATGTTTCAAATTCAGTTTCAAACTCAAATTTCAGTCTTTTATTTAAAAAAAAAGAAGCTGCGTTATCCGGGGAATGATGCGGGCCTGTAATTTGCCTGGCAGCCCTGTAAAATCCCTTACCTACAGGCCCGGTGGGCCTGTAAATTATCGAACTAATTTCTACCCCTTGGCTAGCTTGATTCGTGGTTATTCAGCGCATCGTCTGGACTTGTTTTCTGCTTGTTTTTTTTCCTCTAGCCCGTCTGCCGACCGATACACATACACGAGTACCGCCTGACGGCGTATTCTCTGTACGCTGCGGTGTCGGTTGGTTTGCAAACGAGCGACATCATCGAGTATTTAAAACGTCTGAGTAAGACCAGCATTCCTGATGGAATCGTGGAATTCATCAAGTTGTGCACAGTGAGCTACGGCAAGGTGAAACTGCTGCTGAAGCACAACAGATATTTCGTCGAGAGCCTTTTCCCAGTAAGTTTTATAATGTATGAGTTATTGGCAAAAGACAGTATATGTCTAGCACATAGTGCATGTTGACTATTGAAGCGAATGCAAGCTTTTCATGCATGGGTAATTGCATCGTGAAATTCAAAAGCAATAGTCAAAAAGTGTGTTTGAAATCAATAGTTATGTGTATCAAGAGTGAATAAAAATGGAATTGTTGGTACGTTGTATATTGCTACTGATGGTAAAGTTTGAATTTCAGGCGTCGTCATGAAAAATGAATCTTTAATCATGCTTGCTTACAGGAAGTGATACAGAAACTGCTGAAGGATCCCATGATACAACAGTGTCGACACCGGCCGACCGGCGAGGAAAACGAGGATGAGCTTGTCATGTCAAAAATCACTACAAAGTCTGCACTACAGGTTTGCCCTTACACTGTGATTTCACATGCATGCAATCGAGCAATCCCAAACAATCAATCTCGTATCAAAATCTTTATTTGGTTGTAACAGGGTAGAGATGCATCTCCATTGTACTCATGCATGATGTGTGATAGGCATTCCATTTAGCTGTTCGTGTGGAGTTGTTTGAACTTTCTATCTAACTTCTTCTATGTAAGCATAATATATAAACTTCATCAAAATTTACCTCCTTGTGCTATCACAATAATGCAATTTTCTGCTCAGAAGAAGTCATGGTACATGGCCATGGAGCCTCACCATGGATCCTTTAGCAGCGTGTTGACTATAAAGCGGGGGACAAACCATGCGAATTTATTCGCACGTCCGCAGCGATTGTAAAATCGCAGCGAAATTTGCATGGTGTGCCCGCTCAAGCGCAGGCGAATTTTATCCGCACCGATGTCAAACATGTTTGATATTTTCGCTGCGGACATGCGGACGTGCGAATATAGACTGGTACCCGTCCCTTCTCACAAGCTCGATATAGGCCTATATCAGGCTTGTGAGAAGGGACGGGTACCAGTCTAGTTCGAATAATGGCCAATTGTTATAATGCAGCGAATCATTGATCAGTATGCTAATCACGTGACCACATGACTGTTGGAGCCATAGTGGAGCTGTGTGGCGCCAGTAGATCGCGTGTCGTGTGTACGCTGCGGACGTGCGAATAAATTCGCATGGTGTGTCTGCTCAATTATCGCATGCAGGTGCGAATATTTTCGCCGCGATGTTCGCTGCGGATATGATCGCAGCGGACGTGCGAATTAATTCGCATGGTGTGTCCCAGACTTAATACTCGCCTACAGTTGGTTATATTATGGATTAGATTTATTATATTCTTACCTACAGTTGAAGAACAAGTCGCGAGATGACATGTCGACAGGAGCTGCTGCTCCAAGCAGCGCAAACAATGCCGATGACCAGAAGGAGAAGAAGGAAGGAGAGCAGATCCCCGAGGACATCCACGACTTTTACGAGAAGCTGGACAAGGAGGATGAGGACGACGAGGCTGAGGGAGCGCAGACGGTCGCCTTTGAGATACAGCAGGATCAGATAGAGTGCCTGCAGCGAAGGTGATGACACTTACTTGTCGTTTATCAGGAAAATAATGCTAATGTTTGTCAGCGAGAGAAGATGTCACTTGTGGGTGAGGTGGAGGTGCATTTGAGAGAAAGGGAAACCGGTGTGATCGCATGCTGGTGCAAACATGATTGTACAATCAACATTAACATTGACATGTATTATACAGTGATCTATTACATTAGGGAAAATAACCTATTAAAAATTGTTTTTAGGGCTTTCGTGGTAATTTAAAAGTATTTTTCAAAATACTATGCTGACAATGTCAAAAAGTTCTTGTATTATGTTGGTGCTAAAATACATTTATACTTGTGTTGGTTTCTAATTAATTGTTCCTGCATATAACTTATATTCAAAATAACATATATGTTACGCAGTTATGATATTTAACGGTGGTAAAAATGTTTATTTCTGCAGATGTATAGAACTAGAATACCCTCTGCTGGCAGAGTATGACTTTAGAAACGACACAGTCAATAAAGATTTGAAGTAAGTGTTAGAGAATGCAATCAGTTAGAGAGTGTATTATGTTACAGTTATCCTAATATATAAACTTATTATGTTTAATACCATACATTTATATTTTACATACATATTACATTTGTTCATCAATAATATGATTTTTTTAAGCTTGTAAAGTTTTTTCTTCGTGATAATATGGAATATGGAGTATGAAAAGTTTAGTTTTGGAGTAGTTTGATTCTAAATTCTGACTGTATGACTGAATGCATTGAATAATCGACAATTTTGCGTTTTGCAGCATTGACTTGAAGCCAACAACAATACTCCGACCCCACCAGGAGAAGAGCCTGAGAAAGATGTTTGGAAATGGGCGTGCGAGGTCAGGGGTCATTGTGTTACCCTGTGGTGAGTACGTGCAAATGACGTCTTGAATCTAAGGAGTCAGCGTTGCCGATATGCTGAAATTTAAAACGAGAAAATCGTGATTACACGTACCCAATCCAACTGATTTTTACGTGGTGATAAATTACATTTGATATCTAAATTGACGGTTTCCTGCAAATTATGAAAGTTCAATGACTCATTCTTTTACATGCAGTTATATAAAATTCCAACTATATTTTCTGCCATATTGTTTATATTATGTCATCCTGCTGTCACCCTGTCACTATTAACAGGTGCTGGTAAAACACTGGTGGGAGTTACTGCTGTTTGCACGGTGCGCAAGCGAGCGCTGTGTCTGTGCACTTCGGCCGTCGCCGTGGAGCAGTGGAGGTCGCAGTTCAAGATGTGGTCGACCGTAGACGACAGCATGATATGCAGGTTTACCGCCGATGCCAAGGACAAGCCCATAGGTAACGCGCTTACATACATACATGTGTACTTACATAGGTAACGCGCTTACATACATACATGTGTACTTACATAGGTAACGCGCTTACATACATACATGTGTACTTACATAGGTAACGTGCTTACATACATACATGTGTACTTACATAGGTAACGCGCTTACATACATACATGTGTACTTACATAGGTAACGCGCTTACATACATACATGTGTACTTACATAGGTAACGCGCTTACATACATACATGTGTACTTACATAGGTAACGTGCTTACACGTGCGTGGCAGGTTGCTGAAC